CTCTAAGTAGTAAAAATATGGAACAAGTATTTGAAAAATATTGAATAAGTATTGAAAAATGTTGAACGGGAATTTGAAAAATGTTAAACAAGTATTTAAAAAATGTTGAAATAAGTATTAAAATATTGAACAACTATTTGAAAAATGTTGAACAAGCGTTCAGACAATGTTGAACACTTATTAAAAAAATGTTTTTCACACATACGGAATTGTAAAGTGAAAATGGATTTTTTTAAGAAAAACAACAAATGGAGAAGACAATAGAAAAAGAAAAAAACAAGGAAAAATGCAAGAAAACAAAAAAGGAAGAAACAAAATGCAAAAAAGAATGAAGAAAATAAAATAAAATAAGAGAAACAAAAGAAATGGCTCGAATAACCTCAACTAGGGCACGCCCTACAAATTACCGCGAGGGACCTAGGCGACGCGGCTAGCAGCACCCGAGATCTGCCTAGAGACCTAAAAAAAAGTCGCGCTCAGTTGAGGGATCGAACCCAAGATCTCACGTTACAAAAGATGTGCTATTATCAGTTGTGCTAGCATGCGTTCCTGGATATAGCACTGTGCGAAACCCATAAGAACCAAAACTAGCGAGATCCGCACATTTTTGAAATTTCAAACACATTTTTTGTTGTTGAAAAAACCAGAATGTTTTACGAAACACGACCACTTCTCAAAATTGTGAATATTTTTTCTAAAAGTTCAGACATTTTCAAGAAATGGGATTTGTTTTTGAAAATAATGACCAATTTTCCGAAACACAATTTTTTTCTGAAACTCTCAATTCTTCTTAAAAACGAGAACTTTTACGAAAAAACAGGAGCATTTTTAGAAATTCCCAAGAAAATGGAGCACGAACATCTTATGAAACTCTGAAAGAAAATTTCAAAACAATATTTTTTTTAAGATGGACTATTTTTTTTAAAATAATCAAAACTTGGAATGCGGATATTTTTTGCAAACTGGAACTTTTTTCAAAACAATAGAACAAAATTTGAAAATACAAACAATTTTTTTTGAAATTTACAATAATTATTTAAAGAATAACATGTTTTGAAACTTATGGACAATATTTAAAACACAAACAGTTTTTAAAATAATTGAACAATTTTGGGAAACCGAAACAATTTTTTACTCCCATTTTTTTAGGGAAACATGACCACTTTTAGAAATTAGCAACCAATTTTTTATATAGAAGTATTGGAATCCCCATTTTCCTATACGGTTATGAGAGTTTTGAACTAAAATATAAAGAAAAGAAAAGGAACAAAATGAAAAAAAGAAACAAAAAATAAATAATAAAAAATCATAAGAAATTGAAAAACAAGTTAAAAAGGTTCAGGAACCTTCTAGAATGTTCCCGAAAACTAAAAAACCAGGGCTGGAACCTTCCAGAATGTTCTGAAAACAATGCTATGTACTCGCCGCTTCTAAATAGCCCGACCCAGTTCGATCGCTAGCTTGATCGAGTTTGTGCGAACGATCAGGTACTTGGTGCAGAATGCATCAAATTGGAAAACGAAATCACTAATTAACAAGCACTTTTTCCAAAGATCACTCCCACATACCAAGTTGCGACAAGTGAAACATTGACGTGACTTTTGCAGAAGCAAGATCGTGCCTCTAGCGGAAGCAAACCCGTGCCTCACACCGAAGGAAAAAATTATATTCTTTTTTGTTTCCGAGAGGCACAGTCGTGCCTCTTGCGAAAGGAAAAACTTATTTTTTTTCATTTCCAAGAGGCACGGTTGTGCCTCTCGTGGAAGCAAATACGTGCCTCTTATGAAAGAAAAAGAAAGAAAAAAAAACACATTTTTTTCCATTTTCTCACGGAAATAAAAACTCATCTTTTACGTTTCCGAGAGGCACGACCGTGCCTCTCGCGCAAGCAAATCCGTGTCTCTCCTAGAAGCAAAATAAATAACACATTTTGTGCGCAAAATAAATTTTGATTTTGTTCTTTCAAAAGCTAAGATGGACCTATGGAAAAATGAAAACCAAAAAACCCAGGAAAAACCACCTAAAAAGTTCAAAATGCGTGCGAAAAAAATAAAAATAAATAAAATCCAGGGGGCGCACTCTCAGCCACCCCTAATCACACCCTTGGGGAAGCACCCGAGATAGAGCGCAGCCTCGTGTAAAAGCTACCAGAATGGGCCAGCCCTGCAGGGAACAGAGGCCTTCAGCGCTATTTATTTTTCCTTTTTTCACAGTTTTGTTTTATTATTTTAATTTTACTTATCTTTCTAAATATTCTAAATATATCCATATATCAATAACTTTACATACATAATTGAAATATGTTTATTGTGCATTTAGAAAATTTTAAATTTTACACAAAAAATGTTTTTGATATACACAAAACAATATACATTGTGTATGGAAAAGGTGACATCAAAACATGTATATGAAAAAAATCATGTATTTAAAAATGTGAAACATGTATATAAATTTTTCCTTATACACACAAAAAGTGCATATTGCGTATGTGAAAAATTGGACGTCGAAATGTATATATAAAATATGTTAATGATGTATTTAAAAAAAATTCAACATGTATAAACAAATATTGCTAATGTTCATTAAATTATTTTACAATTGTGTATAGAAAAAAGTAGACATAGGAACTTAAATATGTTTAGAAAATGTCTACCATGTATATTAAAAAATGAAACATATATAAAAAATGTTGCTGATTTATACAAAATTTTAAAATGTGTATATAAAATGTTTAAATAATTATAAGGTGTATATGAAAAATATTAATCATGTACTTAAAAAATGTCAAGCATGTGTATATAAAATGTTTCAGAAGTATACAAAAAATTTACAATGTATCACCGAAAAGGTTAACATCATAAAAATACTCCCTGCGTTTCTAAATATATGCCTTTTAAGATATTTCAATATGGACTACAGACAAATGTATGTAGACATATTTTAGAGTGTCGATTCACTCATTTTTCCCTATATGTTGTCCGTATTGGAATCTCTAAAAGATCTTATGTTTAGGAAAAGAGGTCGTATGTTTAAAAATGTTAATCATGTATTAAAAAATTGTTAAGCGGGTGTACAAAAAATGTTCCTGGTGTTTCAAACATGTAGAATGAAACCAAAAAAAGAAAATAAACAGTGAAAATAATAAAAAACAGAAAAGAAACAAAGGAAACCAAAGAAAAAGAAACAAATGAATACGAATGCAAAAGAATGAAGAAAAAGTGAAAACCTTGAAAGAAAGAAACAAAACCGATGAAAAACAAGAAAGAAACAAAGAAACCTATGAAATAAAGAAGACAATAAGAAAGAAAATAAAAAACCACTGAAAACCACGAAAGAAACAAAAGAAAACAGAAGAACAAAGTATAACAAGGAAAACTAGAGAAGAAATGAAAAAATCCAAAGAGAAAAAAAGGAAAAAAAAAACGAACAAACGGATCAGCGGGCAGACTGAAGGACCGACCGACAGAGAAACATCCTACTTGGTCGGCCTATACGCGTGCGCGCTACGGGGTGCTTCAAGCGAGTGACGCTACCATCTCACGTGAAGCGATATAGCTGCCACACCAAAATAGGAACAAACCTAGTTCCATTGGCATATCGAGACTCTCGCAGTGGGCCCATTTGTCCATCTTTAGCCATGTCTGCTCGCATTTGTCCCATGCCCATATGATAGAGATAGGAAGAAGAGAAAGTTGGACCTGACAAAAAAAGGCAATAAGTGAACTTAAAAAATTAGCACCACATGTCATCAAGACATAACTGGTAGGGCGAAACTTTGAACCCAACACAAGCAACTCTCCCAGTTTAGGGATATTTATGGTTCCAGCATGCAACTGATAAAAAAAGTTGAGGTTGGGGAGGGGATTAAAGAACAAACTATTGGTTTGCACCTTGTTTACTTTTTCATTTATTTTGTGTTGCATTATGCTCTAAAATCTATGTTAGTGTTATTTTTTAAATTTGTACACATTGATAAGTTTTGTAGATTTTAATTATGCTATGGATAAAACATATATATGCATTAAAATTAGTTAAGCATTTTAAATTCATTTGTAGAGTAGAAGAGGTTTTTGGTTTGCTATATTCAGGACAAAAATATTGGTTCTCAAGATAAATTTTAAAAATTACTAATAAAACACTAAATTAAATGATAAAATATTTTTACACAAAACATATAACTGCACAGCAACACATTAAAGGGTATAAACTAATTGCAAGGTAATATGACACGTTTGGTTTGGTCATATTTACAATGCAAGTGTTGTAACAAAATATTGCGCCTCCAACTAAATGTCTAAATAACCCTGCAAAAAACTAAAATTTAAATAAATATTTTTAGACTTTGTATGATTAAATTGTTAATTATACCTGAAAATGGGGATGCCATATTTTAAAAAATAACTAAAAATATTTGGTATAAAAACATGGAACCTTACACAGTTATCCACCAAACTACTTAAAAGAATGTAAGTTTTCATCTTTCACTTTCTCCGCACCACCCTTCGTCCAACCTTCCACCCTCCATCTTTTTTTCCCCGGATTTCCATCCACTTCTAGCTTTCAGCAAACAAATATTTGGTAAGCCAATAAACCAGGTCAATCTATGATATATAGCAATAAGTTCACGGGCCATTAGCAATTTGTTTCTTATGGTAAACCTGATATCGGCTAGACATCTTTGGTACCTCAACAAATAGCAACAAATTCCTGGTCAATGCACAAATAATATCAGTCGATATCTTATCTTTAATAACTCAATAAAGCAGATCAGTCACAGACACGTACCTGTTTTGCCTGTTTAAGAAATAACATAAAACTATTTGTACTAAAAAGTATTTGGCCCCCATGGCGATGCACGAGCACATACCAAGTACGTACCTCAAAAGGCAAGGGAGTCAATGTGACAAAACAAAAGGTTAACAAAACATCAAAGTACATAGCCTTTCACACATATTTTGGTTGCACAAACATACGTGTGGTGAAGCTATGACACCGATATGTCAAAACATGAGACCTGATCCTCTCAGTTTCTCCTCGACAATGGCATCTAGCTTCTTTGCCATCTCTTCCGTCAAGTGGTTTTCCCAGTCGCCAACCTTCCCGGTCCTAAAGTAGGAAGAGTTCTCCATTGGCACCCCGCCAATCCTATCAGTGACTCCTGATGAGTTCACAGGTACGCTCCTGAGCTTATCGAAGCTACACAGGTGCACAACATCCTCCACGACTCCGCGGCTCACCTCCTCCTCAGTGAAGGGGACACAGAGGAACTTGGCGAGCATCAGGACGTGCTTGACGGGTTCGGCCATCATCTCGTCATACTTCAAGAAAAGAACTCTGTCGCTCTCTGCTATGCTTTTCTTCCAGAACCCAAGGTTGTGTTCCCAGATTGGCCCATATGGGCACACACCATCGGAAAACAACTCAAATGCTTTGTCCATGGTGTAGTCCGCATTTACCTTGCTGATGAACTGCCATAACGACACGAACACATCCTTGGGATTGCGGCACAGGTACACAATTCGGCAACCGAGGCTGGACATGCACGGAGGCAGCAGCGTGAGCGGCATGTGGGTGGAGAGGAGCCTGGGGGAGGCGAGCTTCTCGAGATCCGCGAGAGGGTGGAGCTGGCGGTAGGGCGCCTCGAGAAAGGGCACGAGGTCCTGAGGGTGGCGGCTGAGCAGCGGGTGGCCGTCGCCGGTGACGGCGTGGCAGGAACGGTTCGTCACCGTGAAGGCAAGGGCCTTGAGCCAGGTGGTGCCGCACTTGGGGAAGGTGAGGAGGAAGGTGTCGTCGGGACGAGCCTCGAAGTGCTCTTGCACGATCATGACGCTCTGCGCGGCCGGGGGTCTCAGCCAGCAGCCCTGGTACAGGACCCAAGCCCCCCGTGCCTCGGCAACAAGGCCCTCCGCTCCTTCTTCCGGCACGCCGCTGTGGTTGCTCTCGCTTTGAGCTGCTGCCATGGCGAACAGTGGGTGATTGGTCATGAGCAAGCTGTCGAGGCATTCAGACCCAGGATGGGCATTTATTTACAGGTAAACGACTGGACTCGGGTGACCCTGACCGATCCAATCTCTCACGTGTGGCTTCTTCGTACGACAGGCGCCCCCCCACACACTGCTCACCTCGCGTACCTTATCTCTCCTCGCAAACCTTATCTCCTACCATCCCCTTCCAGCCCCTTCGTCCTCCGTGTGACGGCGACCTGAGCCCCCATCTCTCTCGTCTCGTCCGTCCACACCATGGGCCTCCTGGCTCTACACGCTGGCCGTTCCCCGTGCACCTTCGCCTCCGTTTCCCTCCGTGATCCATCTACGTACCAAGTCTTACGGAAAAAAATTGTATGAGACCGGGTCTCATAGACCAGCTTGTGAGACCCTATTGGATGAGCGACATGTGGCACCGACAATCTCAGAGCACCCTAATCCCACTTCACGTCTGATCTCAATCCCAACAGCTGATTCCCGATTCCAGAACCCCACATACGTACGTACGTACATCCTTCATCGCTCTAATAGGTACGTGGGTCTATGGCGGCCACGCCCAAGGGCCTCGACGGCGGCGGCCAACCGGCACCACGCAGCAGCGAGGACCTCTCTTTCATGACCTCGCCGAAGAAGCTCGTCGCCGGCGGCCTGTCGGAGGGCTCGTCCATGGCGGATGCATGCCATGATGTTGGCCCGGCGGACACCACGTTCATGGCGGCCGTGCGCTGATGTGCGCTGATGTGAGGCGTGCCACGCGGGCGGTTGAGCGAAAGAAGTGGACGCCGTTCTCTTCTCCGTCGGTGCGGAGGCGCGGCGTGGCCCGTCGGTCATTTTAAAGACAAGAGAGGGCGTGGGGCACGAAAATAACAGCCGGCAGTGCATTCTGAGAGAGATTAAGGGATTAAGGGACATATGAAATGAATAGGGCCCTCATGGCCCCATATACAGAAGAGGAAGTTAAGACAGCCTTATTTGACATTGGTGATTTAAAAGCGCCAGGTTCAGATGGTCTTCACGCTATTTTTTATAAGAGATTTTGGTCTATGTTGGGAGAGGACCTGACAAAAGAAGTATTACAGGCGGTGAATACATGTTCAATACCGGCAGGCTGGAATGATACTGCAGTTGTCATGATCCCAAAGGTTAACTCCCCAGAAAAGGTTACTCAATTTAGACCTATTAGTTTATGCAATGTGGTGTATAAGGTTATTTCAAAAATGATTGCAGCACGTCTGAAATTAATTTTGTCAGACATTATCAGCCCAACTCAGAGTGCTTTTGTCCCTGGGAGACTAATCACAGATAATATTTTGGTAGCATATGAGTGTTTCCACACAATAAAACAGAAAAGAACAGGGAATGAGGGGCTGTGTGCAATCAAGTTGGACATGCACAAAGCTTATGACCGAGTGGAATGGTCTTTTTTAAAAGCAATTTTGGTGAAGCTGGGTTTCAAGGAAAACTGGGTGAATTTGATTATGCAATGTGTGTCCTCGATGGAGTACAGGATTCGGGTTAATACAGAGGAGACCGATAGCTTCAAACCCACTAAAGGATTAAGGCAGGGGATCCCCTCTCACCCTACTTATTCCCGTTATGTACGGAGGGCCTGACCGCCCTTTTAGCAGATGCGGAGGAGAGAGGAAATATCTCCGGCATAAAGGTTAGTAGGGAAGCTCCCTCAGTTTCCAATCTATTATTTGCGGGTGATTCATTGATCCTCATGTGAGCAAATGCAATGGATGCGGAGGCCCTTAGAGCGGTTCTGAACTCTTACTATGCCGTCTCGGGGCAGATGGTGAGTGTCGAAAAATCCAGCATATTTTTTAGTCCCAATACAGAAGTGGAGGACAAAGCGCAAATCTGTACAATTCTAAATATTATGGCTGAGGCACTTAATGATAAATATTTGGGATTACCTGCCAATGTGGGCATGGACAAAAGCGATTGTTTTCAGTTCTTGATTGATCGTATTATTATGAAGATTAGTGGATGGAAAGAAAAGTTGTTATCGGCGGGTGAAAAGGAAATTTTGCTTAAGTCTGCTGTTCAAGCTATCCCAACATATGCAATGTCCGTCTTTAAAATTCCTAAAAAGATTTGCAAAGGAATCATAGACGCGATGTCGCAATTTTGGTGGGGCGACGAGGACAATCAGAAAAGGATGCATTGGATGGCATGGTGGAAGATGTATGTTCCAAAAGAACAAGGAGGAATGGGTTTCCGTGATATACACTGCTTTAACCTGGCGTTATTAGCGAAGCAAGCATGGCGTCTTGTGGATAATCCTGAATCATTATGTGCAACAATCCTAAGAGCCAAGTATTTCCCCGAAGGTGATTTGATGAACGCGGTATTAAAGAAGGGCTCTTCCTTTACTTGGCAAATCATTATGGCGGGAGTGGACTCTCTCAAAAAATGCCTATATATGGAGAGTGGGAACAGGAGAAAATATTGACATATGGAGAGATGCATGGATCCAAAATTGTGCAGACAAGAAAATTATTACACCCAGAAGGGGGAATCTTTTGACGAAAGTTTCTGATCTTATTAACCCAGTCACTAATGGCTGGGATGAAGATTTGGTGAGACAAACTCTATGGCCAATTGATGCCCGTAGAGTCCCAGCTATCCCGATCCCCATGCATAATATGTCGGACTTTATTGCTTGGAGCTATACAACAAACAGTTTATTCACTGTACGATCAGCTTATGTGGAGGAATGGAATAAACAACATGGAAGGAAGTTAGAATACTCGAATGGTATGGGTAGAAGCAAGGTCAATCCTATTTGGGGTAAGATCTGGAAATTAGGTTGTCCGGCAAAGGTTAAATTTTTTATTTGGCGGACGCTTCACGGAACTCTGCCATGTCGTGTTACATTGGCCAACAGACATATAAAAATTCAACCAATATGCCCAACATGTTTGGACGGGCCAGAGGACACGAAACATATATTATTTCTGTGTCAGAAGGCAAAAGATGTGTGGGAACATTTGAGGTTGTATGAAGTGGCAAAAAAAGCCTGCGTCGTTGATCGTGCAGGAGAGGCAGTCCTTGAATTCCTACTCCTTATGCCTGATCATGAACTACCCATCTTGGGCTCCCGGAATGCGGGGGAACTTATTGCTATAGCTGCTTGGTATTTATGGTGGAATAGACGGAAACTAGTCCACGAGGGTAAGTCTCAGGAAGCGTCCCAAACCGCGATGGGGATTCGGGCTATAACATTGAACTATGTAAATGCCTCTCTCCTAAAGCAAAGAGAAAGAATGAAGGATGGTGCAGACCTCCTAGGGGTTTCATTAAATTGAACGTGGATGCTTCTTTTGATCATGATCAGCTAAGAGGAACAGCGGGTGCTGTTATCAGGGATGAAAAAGGAAACTTCATAGTAGGTGGTAACTGGAGGATTCAGCACTGTGCGGATGCCCTGATAGCAGAGGCGGTAGCACTCAGATTTGGTTTACTGTTGGCACAAAAGACAGGCTGCAATCGTCTAATCATCAATTCTGATAATAGAGGTCATCGAAACAATGAAGAACGGAGGACAGTCTGCGGGAGCGGCTGCTGCAATTTTTGAGGATTGTTTTTTATGGCCTGTGATTTTCCTCAAACCAGTTTTGAACATTGTAACAGGAAAGCGAATAAAGTAGCTCATGAGCTTGCTAGATTAGCAAAAAGTTTCATGACTAGGGATTGGATAGAGGAGCCCATGGAAGATCTTGTAACTCTCTTGATAGACGATGTAACGATTATTTCTAATTAATAAAGTTTCAAGTTGTTTTTCAAAAAAAGGGATTGAGTAGAGAGAGACGCCCTGCTGTTCGATTTTCCCGTACACTTGTTTGCAGCGCATGTGAGAGCATTTTTCAAAAAGATTTTACAAAGTAGTACATCAGTAAGCCTGGAGCCATCATCTTAGCAACACCTTTCGCTACTCTAATCCCCTTGATGTAGGGGTGCCAAATGTTCGAGCCTAATACCAAACAGACATTACACCGAAACCTAACATCTAAAGCCGGATGCCCAATCCTAGCCACATACCAGGACTGGGTCACACACCGGTCCAACGACTCACCGAGCCCGCCACTGCCATCTTCCACCAATCCATCTCCATAGCAGGGACTGACGCAAACCTTGCCAGCCCGCCGTCGACGCCACCATGGCGTCAGACAGCACCACCGCCCTGCGCTCGACCATCCAGCCGCGTCCGTCGATGATATCCCGCTGCACCATGCCGCCAAAACTCGTCATCGACGCGGTAGATACAATGCCGCACCACCTAGCAACCACCACACCGTCGCCATTGCTGGAGCCACACGGAGCCCCACCACCCGCAACATCTCTCCCCCGAATACGAGGTCCTCCCTAGACGGCGCCTCCATGGAGAATCCGACGCGCAGGCCGCCGCCGCCGCCCAATCTAGACTAGATTTTACACTTTCGTCTGGGAGGGATTCGGGGGTGGATAGGACAGACCTCGGCTTCGCCTCCAGGGAGGATAACAACGTGGAGTGACATTGCCAATGTCGGGTCGAATAAGCCGACCAAAGTTTCCTTCGGTCCCATCCTATACCACCAAACCTCCATCTGCTCCGGGTCCGTCAATAGCCATGAACCGAAACATGCAGAGATGAAAGAGCCATGGGGCTCAGCCCACCAGGAAGGAGGACCGAGAAGAACCCAACGTAGAACTCCAGACGCCGAATCCAGCGATCCGACGTGGCCAGCTACGACCACCACCACCCCGCGGCGGCCAACGGATTTCAAAGACAGGATTCAGATGGATCTGATCTAGATCCGGCGGCACCCGCGACCACCGGTCAAATCCAATGCAGCCACCACTTCGCCACAAGCAGGCCGCCGCCACCGCGCCAGGCAAGACGCCGCCTGGAGACCCGCCCGTTGCGTCGCCGGACCCCGCGCTCGCCGGGCGCACCTCCCGATCTCATTGTCCCGCACGATCCATGATGAAAGAGGTGAGGAGAAGCCCCACCG